GCTTAAGGTTCCCGTCTTGGTCCTGAATTGCCTGGATTGGACCTGGATTCTCCACTAGGAGGATGTCACCTTCCTTTTCTCCTACTCTGGTTGTGCCCGAGACATGGTCCTGGTATTGCAGGTGAGTTATTCAGGGAAGTCCTCCACAGCAGGTTGATGAAAAGGGCTTTCATCATGATGAAGTGATGATCTAGTTGTAGGGAAAGAATTCGATTTTACTTCTTTTTTAACTACTGCAGTGCCCGACATAGCTGAAACAATAAAACCTGTCCAAAGTCACATGGCAAGAAGATCCAGTGTTTCCAAGATGGCAGTTCTGAGGGTGATGATCAACCAGGGGCATCAGAAAGCAAAAGGGACAAAGAAATGCAAGTTTTATTTGTAGTTGTTGTCTACTTGGTTGTGGTGGGTTGATGCTATGAGAATATTAATAACAGCACCTGGCTCACGGGGAGACTGACATCTTCATTCCACATCTCTGGAGAAGTACAGTCGTCTGTGGAAAGCATTCCTTGCTTCACAGAGTGTAGTAGTCAAAAATGCCAGTGCCACACATGATTGTTGAGAAGAAAAGCTGACTTTCTAGCTCAGTGATGAGAACTCAGCTGGGTAGTGGGCTTGGCCCAAAGTCAAATCGCATGTGATGTTTTCTTCAGAAAGGTTTTCTTATAGGAGGTTGTATTGGGTTACTGTGGTATAGTGTCCTGCCCGAGATACTATTTCTCTGGAGCCTTACAGCCTTACAGCTTGGACTTGGGCTAATGGAATTTAACACTAACTCTTACGATGCTGAATTTCCTTTGTGTTTTTTCTAGTTTTTTCTCTTTACCACAGACAGAACGTGCTAGATCTTTCTTCTTCTCCAAAGATGACGGAGGTATAACACGCCTCAGAGGTATAACATGACTTGGTCACCCTCTTTTTGACAAGTTATCTAGATATTTTGGATCCTTTCAGGCATGTATCCGATACTTAATTGTTTCCAGTGTTTCTGACGTTCTTGTTAAAAATATTGACTATTCGTATCAGTCACATATGCCCACAAGGTTTTTGATCCAAAATATTGTGGGTTTTTTTTCTTGTTAATGTAATTAACTTTGAACTAAAAAAACAAAAAAGCCCCCAAAATCCCCAACCAACCAACCAACCAAAAAAACAAACAAACAAACAAAAACCCCCCAAAATAAAACCAAATATGCCCTGCAGCAAAGAAAACAACAAACCAACAACCAAAAGCCTTAAACCACAAAAAAACTAGCAACTACCCGTAGGCTACCAAAGCAATTGCTTTTGATATTCTAGCCAATATCTTGGCAGATGCAGGATAGTGGTGCTGAGCTTCTAATGAAACAAATGCTGTTTCACTGCGGTCTATATTTGAGCATATCAGGGGAAGCTGCTGCTGCCGTTCGTTTTTCTTAGGACGCAAGGCTGTAATACGTAACATTTCTGTTGGAGGCCCTGGTGTTGGGGGGGGCGAGAGGGGAATATGAAGAACGTTAATTTATTCTTTTTGTAATTGTGCCCGAGACAATTCTTGGGGAAGTCCTTTTTTGCAGGTGAATTTTTGAAGTCATTCCTGGGCCTTCTGACTTTGTTGCTGTGTCGTTCATGAGAGTTACAAAGAGGAGCATATTCAGAAGGGTGTAACCACGTTAATTTATTCTTTTTGTGCAGGGGGCCCGAAGTTATTTTGTAATCTCTCCTGTGTTAGTGCTGGTGACCCGTGCTGATCTTGTTACAGAAAACCGGAGAGGTCGGGACAGCTGGCGCAGCCGGACTCTCCCACGTGGAGATGCAGCGAGTGCCGAAACGCTTGTATGTTGGAGGGCTTGGCCATGCGGTTTCTAAGGCTGAGCTGCAGGAAAGATTTGGCAAGTTTGGGCACGTTTTGGATGCGGAGATTATTACCAGACAAGATGATCAGGGTAACAGCGTTGTGTCAATCTTTAACATTCTTTTTAAAGCGAATTGGTTTTTAATTTGTGTGTGAAATGGTTTTGGTTGGGTTGTTGTTTTTTGTTATTGGGGGTTTTGGGGTTTTTTTGGGTTTTTTTTTTTTTTAGCTTATGACACATTCTCAGTTTTTAGTTTTAAAGGAACCTGTGAAATTACGTAGAAATTAACCGAGTGTTTCTCTTTGCTCAGGGAACCCTCTGAAAGCTTTTGCTTACATCACTGTCAATATTTCAGATGCAGATCTTAGAAAGTGTAAGTAAGTGGTTTTATTCATTTCTTTTTAAGTAATTTATGGTTTTGAGGCAGTTTGCATTACTGAAAATCCATCTAATGTTGTCGTATCACAATGTGGTCAAGATAGACCCTGTTTCCTTCTATTGTCGTGTTTATTCCCTTTAAGCTGCAATTTTACTTAAGTTACTTTACAGGAGCTCTAAGTAGGTGTAAGCACATTAAAAAGTCTTCTTGTGATTGAGATGAGTGACTTAATGAATTTGTTCTAACCCTTGTAGGAAAAGTTATAGGAAATGTGCTTCAAACACTTGCATCAGGTCCGTAAAAACATTGTGACTTGGTATGAGAGGAAGCCCAGGAGAAGAGTTTATGTAAAGCATGCTCCTGTTACAGCAGTATTACAAATCCCAATGTCATGGGGTTACAAAACTAGTTGCAGGGTTATAAAACCACCTATGTAATATGTGGCAGCAAAATGGCAGGTGAAGATGCCTGTTCCCAATGAGAGGACTTGGAAATATGCCCTTTTATGTAGGAAATGCTACAGTTAGGAATGGTAAAGTTATTGGAAAGCGGCTGTTTAAGAGCCCTTGACACTTTGCATCCTAAAGTTCCAAGCACACCTTTTTTCTCTCTGATTTTCTGTAGTCCTTAACTGTGTTTTTCAAAGTGCACAAGAAGTGAAGTCAAGAAGAGCCTATGTGACAGTAATGTAGAAACATCAGGGTACATGTGTCTGAATGACTTGAATGAATCTTTTGAAGTCAGAATTTGAATTTTGGATGTGGACTTTCTTGTTTAAGACTTAGGTATTAGACTTTTCACGTACAAACTTAAATCAAGGGAGTAATAATACCATGCTGAAGAAAGTTCTAGAAGAAGGTATAGTTAAGCCTGAGGTGTGTTTTTTTTTTTTTTGTTGTGCTTTTTTTTAATGTGAAAAATATTCATTTGCCATCTCCTTGTTCTACAGGCATGACAGTTTTAAATAAAACAAAATGGAAAGGCGGGACACTGCAAATTGAGTTGGCCAAAGAAAGCTTCTTGCACAGGTAAAAATGAATTTTAAAAATCATATATATATTGCTGCTGAAGTTACCCCTTTTCTGATTATCTGATAGTATTATAATTGTGCTTTTGGCTGCTACGCTCTTAATCTTTCTAGATTTTATTGACATTGGTGCACTGTCGATGCTCATTGGATACTGCAACATGTTTGGCATCATTATTCCCTTAAAGGTAGCAGATGTGCCATTTCTTTGGGTTGGAATGGTTACTGTTCCGTGGAACAGAGTTGCTGCCAGCTGTAATTTAACACATGGCAGACTTTTTTATCATGCATGATATGCTTGTTGGTACAGGCTGGCCAGGGAGAGGGAGGAAGCAAAGCTGCAGAAAGAAAAGCCACAGAGAAATGGCCAAGCATCTCTGTTAGAATCGTTGAAAAAGGTGGGAGTTGTGGACTTCTTTATGAAAGCAGTACCAGGTACAGAAGTGCCAGATCATAAGGTACGGTGGGGCAGGTGTGAAGAGAACTAAAGCAAAACAAAAGCCAGAATTGGGCATTGGCTTCTTACACCTGTATTTGTGTCAAATCTCTACCCTTTATGTAAAGAAACCTTTATGAAACACCCAACTTGTGAAAAGCAGTCTAAGGAGATACTTTATGTATTCCTTGTGTAGAATGTTCCTGGTGTTCTTTGTAACACCTAAAACTCATCTTGATCACACTCTTTTGTGATGTTAAATTACTCCTTTATGTTGGAAACATCTTTGTGTCCCCCTTAAAAGCATGTAGGCAGAGTGTGTGTCTTCTTTCTATACAGAATATACATTTTTGACATCTGGATTGTCAGGAGCTAATCTCTATGCTTCTGCACATTCAGGGTCATGGTCTACACGTGCTTGTAAAAGTAAGACTTGGAATGAAAGCACTGAATATGAACATTTGGGTAACAAAGATTATACTTTCTACAAAGTTTTCGAAGTTATTTGCTGAGCACAGAGTGGTTTCAGAGGGTGATGGGGGGGTTAGGGTTTGTTCTTTTTCTTTTTTTTTTTTTCTTTTGTGAGGGAAGCTGACTAACTTGCTCAGTACAAATAAATCTCACTGAAGAGAGTAAACAAAAAAAAGCTAGTCACAGATGGTTCCTTATGAGTGTTTCTGTTTTCCAAGAATATGCATCCCGTTTTATTATGGGGTTACTTCCAGTCCTTGTTTGTTTTACGCTGGTTGTTTTTCTTCTCTTTCAGAAATGGGTTGTTGGCAAATTTGGAAGAGTCTTGCCTATCCTGCACCTCAGGAGTCAACAGAAAAAGAAAATATCCTTTTCCTCTTGATTGGGCATAGGCATGATTCCCTTCTTTCTTTTGTTATATGGGGAAACATTTGCTTCACAGTCTGGAAGTGTGACATAGTAGCCAACGTTGATTCACTGGATTCCCTAAGTAAATCTTGCAGTAGGCTTATGTGATTTGAATACATTGTTTAGACTGCAAGTCAGCTGCTTAAAGGCTTAAGGTTCTGACATGAAGAAGGACTCTGGGTTGTCCTTTCACACAGAATCCAGCCTGTTCATAAAGACTGGAAGTTTGCTTGCTGAAAGCATCATGTTGGGTTAGTTCCTTAACTCAGACTCACATTATGAAATATGACCCATCAAAATATTGCCATAACCTTAGAAAGCTGGAGTCAGACTTGACAAATGCCGTTCCTGTTTCTGAGCTTGCTTGGCACTTGGAAGAGAGAGGTGACAGCATAAACCCGAAGCGGAAAGGAGAGTCACCTGCAGTGAAGAAGCCACCTAAAAAACTGAGGCAGCTGGGCAGTGAGGCTTTGAATGGAGCAGTAGTTCTCCCCTCTGGGTGCCGGTCAAATTCAAAAACCACAAGCTCACCACAGCTAGATCAACGATCAAAATGGAAACCCAAAGGGAAGTCTAAATTGCCTCCATTGAGGAGTCTTAATAGTAAAGTATCTGGGAGAGGCATATTACCAGATGAAAGCAATGTTTCTGGTGTTACACTTCAAAATAATATGAGTGTTTCTGAGAGTGATATTGATTCTGAAGAGGAAATCAGAGCCATGGTAGAGAGAGAAGTACATAAAGCTGAAACTGGCAAGGCTGAAAGTGACCACTTGGAAATTGCTGGGGACAATTTTGAATTAAAATACAGTAGTTACTGGTCCTTAAGCAATCCAGATGCCATGAAGCAAGCTATCAAAGGAAGCTTTAGAGAGAAAAAGATAATGGAATGTGATAATGGTTATCAGTCAGCAGATACAGATGAAATTATTGCTAAAAGTAAAACTCCACATCTACATAACAAGAACTCTACAGTTTTAGATGATTGTAAACCGGTGAAGGTGGAAAATGAAGACATCTTAACTGAGAAAAAAAGTGATTTTGTAAATAAATCCTCAGTAAAAACTCATAATTTAAAAGAATATGTGGAAAAAAAAGGCAAAAAGAAAAAATCCCAAACTGCTGCCTTGCAGAGCACAGCAGGTAACAGTACAACAAAGACAAGTGATAGTGAAAGCTCTTGTTCAGATCCTGAGAAAGAGGAGTCTGAAAGCAGTTTAGATTATGAATGCATGATGCAAAACTGTTACCACTTAGACATTACACTGGATGACTTACAAGCATTAGCTACTGCAACACGTGGAGAAGAATTAGACAGTACATGGAGCTCTAGTCAGTGTGGTGTTGAAGAATATCCTAAGGGTAATGTTGGAAATAAAACAAAGCTTTCAAAATTTTGCCCTGCAGTTAGGAAAAAATGTATCTGTCCTGAAGATGTAGTTGCTGCGATTTTGGCAGGGGAGGATGCTGCTGATGAAGCAAGTTTCAAGGAACAAAATAATTTGCATTTGAAATATCAGCCCTTCAGAGGATTGGGGTCCCTTTGTGAAAAAGAGTTACCCGGGGACAGCACTGGTTTAGAGAAGAGGTTTGTAGAAAGATTAGATCTTGAAGCTTGTGTTTCTTCCTGTGGGGAGGAGTCATCTCAAAGACAGCGAAAGAACCATCAAGTGTATTCAGTTGAACTCAGCAGTAAAAAGCAACAAAATGTGCGTTGTGAACTGCACGAGGAACTGTCACATGCTGCGTCATTTGCAGACGAGAGAGGTCAGCCTGTGTTCAGGCTGCACTTGCAAGGAAAGAACAAAGATGCGAGTTCTGCACTATCCAAGCAATACTCAGAGCATGGAGATGCTGCTGCTCGTACTCTTCAGAGTGAAGACCCGAGCAGCAGTGTGGATAGTAATGCTGCAGTGTCACAGAAACACACTGAACAACTGAAAAGCCCCAGACTACTTTCAAAACAATCGAAGCAGGATGTAAGCAACCAAAATCCAGAATGTGAAGCTGATAAACGTGAAGATGGGAAGAGAAGCTTTCTGGAAAATAAAGAGCTTTGTCTTCATGCTAGTGCTTCAAAGGAACGTAGACCAGAAAAGAAACAGTTGCAGGATAACCAAAGGAGGCTAGCAGCTCTAGGGGAGAGACAGAGAGAGAGAGAGTTACAGAAGAAACTCATTCAAGGAGCTCTCTCCAATCTGGTAATGACACAACTTCTCTCTGAATAGTATGCAGTAAAAGAAACAGGGAATTAATAGATGTGGTTTAAGATATTTTAAAAATCATTGTTTGGAATTTTTGGTTAACATTGCCACTTTTCTTGCGAATGTATAAAAAGTGATGAATGCCAATTAACGGAATGCGTCTTGAGTTGCAAGAGGAATAGTAGATTTCTTCTTTCATGTCATGGAAACATCTTTTAGATACTGTGTATGGCTGTAGCAAGTATTTGTTAAGTTTGACTTGAGAGTTTCACTCTTCCACAGGATAGCCAGCCAGCAGGCAAGCATAAACACGTGATATTTCATTCAGATGTGGAAAGTGAAGCTGAAGTAGATGAGACATTGAAGAAAGATGCCAGTTTGGGAAATATGCATGAGGACGTAAGTGTTATTGAGAGCAAGTCCAGTATTCTGTAAAGTAATTCCATATGGATATGACGATATGACTGTGCCTTATATTCCATATGATTATGCCTCTTTTTCTGAAGACTGTTTTTCGTAGTGAAATGACAGAAAAAAGTGGGCCAGGTTTGGATTAATAGGAAGGATTCTTCTCTCTCTTCTTTTTCTTTTTTTTTTTTTTTTTTTGATAACATGGGGTAGGTTTCAAAGAATTTAACCATTCCTCTGCTAAAACTGGAGAACTTTGAGAATGTGTAAGGAGTTTGAGATTTGTATGAAAGATACTCTGACTTGGATGAAAAGACAAAGAGTGCTTAAGTTACATTAACTAACTTAATTAGTTTTGAAATGTTACTGCTTTTAGTCAAAGGAGGGGGAAGAGTTTTGGCTTGAGTACTATAGAGAGACTCTGGTCTTTCCAAGCCTGTGGATGAAGAATCTGTATTAATTGTATTAATGCAATGTTGCCTTTTTAAAGTGATGTTGGGGTCCAGGTAAGTTGTGTGGGACTTCCTCCATACACTGCACCTGTGACCTTATTTAGCAGACTATTTTCTTAGTCACATCTCAGCTATAGAGTCAGACCATTGGGTTTGCTTTTGTTGTTTTTTTTTTCTTCATAAATGCTGTAAGATTCTGACCATTTTCACTGTGTAATTAAAACATTTTCTCATTTATCCTTGTGTTTATCTTCTTTCACTCATGTATATCCTTACCCTGTATTTGGAATCCATGCCCTATAATTTCCCCTTTCTTTAAAAGAACTTCTGATTAATGGAAAACTGTTTAAAGCCATGGAGTGCTTACATTTTGCAATCATTGTTTTTGATCAACTGACTTAAACTATATCCTTGAGTTTATGCCATAAGTGAGGCTTGTTTAGAAAGGGTATAGTTTGACATGCGTATCTTTAAATATCTCCCTTGACATAATCAGAAATTTGGGGGTTTATACCCAGTTATCTCATATTGTAAAAGCCAAGTTACCCTTTACATAGATATTTTGTCTATGCTAAATTTTAATAGTCTTAACTGTAAAACAGAATTGTATGAGTTGTGTGTACAATGTAGGAGTTGAAGCGCATGGATCAGTAAGTGAGCTGCATGTTCTAGAAATACAGTTCTTCAGATAAACTGGAAAGCACTTGAGCAAAGCTGATGCTGATTTGTTTTCTCAAATTTACGTCAACTGCTGCCTTTCTCTGTTTTCTTTTTGTTTATCAAAGGATGGATCTGCTCCTAAAACCTTGGGCAGACTGTTCGACAGCAGTGAGGATGAGCAAGATGATGTGGATGCTGAGAGATTCAAAATTAAGCCCCAGTTTGAAGGCAAAGCTGGTGAAAAAGTGAGTGAACCCATTACTGTAATTTAGTCTTCTTCTAAGTCTCTGTTAGGCTGCTTCAGAAGTACATCACACATGGGTTTGCATGCTTGCTGAATGTGATTTTGACAAAACTGCAATGGAATTCCCTGAACTAGAGGAAACAGCGGCTATGGAGGAAGTGATATATGTTGGGGAGTGGGAGGAGTTTCTCTGATGTTGTCATCTTTGAAGTTACTGAATGTTGATGGTTTTCTTCTCCAGTGCTTATTAGTGTCTTTCATTTTGGTTAGCTCTTGAAATTGCAGTCACGACTTGGCACGGATGAAAGATTCCGCATGGACGCTCGATTCCTTGAAAGTGACAGTGAAGAAGAAGGTAAACCTGCTCCTATTTTCTGGTTAATGACAGTAATAGAGCTACATCATGGAGCCTTAATATTGGATGCTTGAAACAAATTATGGACTACTTTTACTTCGGAGATTTCATAAGAAAAACAGCTCGGCTCTTGTGGCTGTGCATAGTATACGTTGGTGGCTGTGTTTTCCCAAATGTTTGTGTTGCAGATATATTTGTAAGAGCTGAGTGAGATGTACTTAGTACATCAGTCAGCACCTGAAAATATTTTTTTAATACAGGATGATCCCAGAACGCATTAATCCATGTTTTTCATAGAGTTAAGTAGTGACTTCTTAAGAAAAACATTTTGACCATTACACTCACATAAACAATTTTATAGTGATCCTGCAGTCCATGGCTGATTTACTAGCCTTAGAAAGAAAGATTTTTTTGTTGGGTGTTTTTTTTTTCTTTAAAAAGCACAAGGCAGAAAAGCCAAAAAGGAAAACATGTTAAAATATTTCTTTTTTCCACCCCCTACCAAAATTGCAATTCTTAACAGTTTTCAAGATCAAGAATTTGTTTCTGAAACTTAAATTTTTGCCTACTTCTGCTACTCCCGTTGTTGATTTAATGGGATCATCTGTTCAGTGTCTATGAGGGACCAAGTAGTTGTACAGTTATATGATATAAGCAGAGAAAAAGTTAAATAACGGATCTGGTTTTCTGCACTGCAAGGGAGAAAACCTCCAAGTAGCTTTAAAATGAAGGAGGTGATGTGCTTGAAATGTGAGGACTTGTAGTATGATAGTAATGCAATATATCAGATATCGCAGGCTTACTCAAGTGGTAGCAGGGGAAAGATTATGTATTTTTCTTATAGCAGAGACAAACATCTTGAAGGCAGATGAGGAAGAAGAGCTCGCTGCAGAGAAAAAGAAAAATCTGGAAATCCTGGGAAGTCTCTTTAATGTCAACCTGGAACACCCTAAGCTGACGAAGAAGGCCACAAGTGCTAAGAAATTCAGGTCTGAATTGTCTGTTATCAATAAAGAAGGAATCTTAGGAAGGCTTAGTTTTTGCCCATGCTTCACAACTAAATTTTCTACCAAGCTGATTAGGAAAAGTGTTTCCTTCTCTGTCGTGTGCATTTGAGGTTAGTCTTTAATGCAGTTTCTCAAGTTGAGTGTCTCAATAGATTATACAACTGATAATAATCATTATTTTATGCAAAAATACTACTGATGCCTGCTCAAGTTTCTTCTAATAGCTCTAGATTGGAGTGTTGATAATGAAAAATCAACATTTCAAGTCCTTGCCTAGGTAAGACACATTTCTGTTCTCTGTGGAGACAAACCTAATGTGGCTAGACGAAGAACATGAGAGTTGGGCTGTAGGTCAGTAAGTTATTAACTGCTACCAAAGTTAGAGTCTATGGGTATTGTTTTTGCTGGCCTAAAAGTGATTAGGCCTTCATCAGTCCTCTTTTTCAGTGGAAAATTTGTTTGTTTTTTTTTTTTAATTATTATTATTTTCCTTTACCTGTATTTCTGCTTTAATTCTTCATTCGATTAGGACTTTGTTACATGTTGCTGTTGGGCATGCTGTAGCCTTCATTAGAGGACGATGTTAGAGGTCTGGAAATGTACTGTGGGAAGTATGGTGAGATTTAACTATGACCTTTAACAGAAATTGGTCTGTGGAGTGAACTGGTGGAAGTTAGTAGCGTTAAGGGTAGTGCAGTAGCACACAGTTTTTAACAAGTCACTATTGGAGTTGTATCAGTCGATTGCTGGCTGCTAAATACCAATTGTGACCACTGTGTAGTCATATTTAATTGTTAATTACTTCTGTACAAATTTTAATGCATTCTCTAAAGCCTAAGTGGAGGGGGGAATCATCTGTGCAACCCCAAAGGTGATCTCTAGGGCAGTTCTGTAAATGATGTTGTTCTCTAGTACCCAGTTAATGGTGCAGTGTGTAACTATTTAAATGTAGTTAATTTATGCTGTAAGCATTAATTTAGGGAGAAAAGAGGAAAGGGAAATAAGTGATTGCCTTCTTGCATTGCCGTAAGGCAGTGTTGGATTTGCTACACTAGTGTTGGGATTCGTCTAAACCTTGAACTGCTTTAGCTGAAAGTCTCAAACTGTTTAGATTTTGGAAGGTGGGCATAATGGGTGTGTGTTTGTTTTTTTCTTGGTTAGTTGTGTGGGGTTTGGGGAGTTTGGGTTGGTATTTTCTTTTTTTTTTGTTTGTTTTTCATTTGGGGTTTATTTTCCTCCTCAGATACTTGAATTTTGAACTGTTTAGTACCAGAAGAAATAGAGATCTATTGCTATGGATAGCTGTACTGTTATAGCTCCTCAAAAGATAAACAGGTGCAGGTAGAGACTTATTGCATAACACACACAACCTGAGGTCTAGGTTTTATAGTAAATACATCTATTTGATTAAAGCCACTTCTGTTTATAGTTTTTCCTGACCCAGTCACTGACTACCAGGTACTGCCTAAATGCCAGTTAGGCTTTAGATTGATCTGGAGCTGTTTTGGTCAATAAGTCAATGTGAATTTGAATCTGACTGTAAAGGTTTAGGGTAGCTTTCACTTGGGCATTTCGGATGCCTCATGGTTTTTTCTTTCTGTTTTTATAGAGATATTAATGCCCTCCGCTATGATCCCACAAGAGAGGACCATGTAGTTTTTGAAAGGAAACGAAGTGCTACAGAACAAGAGAGGTAATACTACAGCTTGGTAACTAGGATTGTGATGTTTCTTCCTGGGGAAAGATGGCTGTAGCAGAAGACTGACATTGAAACTCTGGAGACTGCTCTGTTTTTTCGTCAGTTCTCTCTGTTATTGCTAAAATCAAAAGATAGAAAGAATTGTGAGCACTAAAACCAGCATATAATGTCATCTTTTCTTTCTAGTCCATCTACTTCTGCACACCATTTTGTCTTAATTTTCTCGCCTTCAGGCTGTCCCTTTGCTTCAAGTCACTGACTTCTAAGATTTGCAAATCTGTGAGAAAAAAATACTATCTATTAACATTTCATTTGCTTGGATAAGTGTAAGAAGACATTAATAACAAGGTTGCCTCTATGGGAACCTTTCTTTTAAAAATACACATACAGTGTTACTATCCTTTAACAATCTCATTTCAGTAAAGCTAAAAGGAAGAGGGAGAGGGAAGAGAGTGAGAAACTGCCAGAAGTGTCTCAAGAAACGTATTATGACATTGCTGTTGATTTAAAAGAGTTGTTTGGCTCTTCAAAGAGCAAATCACACAAAAATGAAGAAACACCCTGGGACAAAGATGATGTGGAGGACTCTACCCCACCTGACCACTTGGGACCTAATGTCAGGAGTAACGTAGCTGAGGAGTCTGGTGGTTTCAAGTTTTCCTTCTTTGGAGATACGGAGGAGTCAGGCATGAAAGGAGGTAACAGCAGAACATGGATAATAATAGTGCAACTTGTGATGGGTAGCTTATGTCAGATACCATAGAGTTGTATCATGTAGAGAAATTCATGGCCCAGGTGACTTTCAGAGGCAGAAATCAGTAATAATTGCTACAATCTTCTCTGATGCTTGTCAAGATTCTAGTTTAATCAGAGTTAATCCATGCTTGTATCCCAGGAATTTTGAGAGGAATGTTTTGAGAAAGATCTATAATTTAACTGTTTTTTGAACAGTGGTGGATAAACTTGCTGTCATCCACTAAATTTCTTAAATAGGGAAAAAGATGACATAAAAGTCAAATGTGATTTCATGTAAACCATCAAAATTTTAAATAAATTATGCTGTCAGAGTTCAGCAAGTGCCTGTGTGTAGTACAGGGAGGAATACACACATGAAAATAATACAGCTTAAACACAGAGTATGGCATTATGAATTTATTTGCAAACGAGCTTTTTAAGATAGATCACAGCGCAAGACAGCTTTCATTACAACTTCTGCAAGATAAAAATATGAAGAGGCACCTTTACTTCCAAATCAGCTGATGATTGTGAGGTTGGCGAGAACTGATAGAGCCCAGGACCCTGATAACAAGCCCTGAAATGACTACTGCACTCTTTGCCTATGGTGTGATGACACGAGTTACAAATTTTGAAGGCGAAATCTGTGACATATGAGAAAGCAAACTCAATTCATACCTACCCTGAGGACATATAAAACCTGGGAGGGGAGGTTTCTGTTCTTCTTAAAGCTGTCATTTCCAATGTAATTATTTCACTCTGAAGTAGGTATTAGTATTGGCAAGTATGTTAATAATCTGACAATTTTTCTTTTTCAATTGTGCTCTTATTGCAGAGCCCTACATACTTGAAACAATAAAACCTGTGAAAGTCAAATGGCAAGAAGATCCACGTTTCCAAGACAGCAGTTCTGAGGGTGATGATGAACCAGAGGCATCAGAAAGCAAAAGGGACAAAGAAATGCAAGTTTTATTTGTAGTTGTTGTCTACTTGGTTGTGGTGGGTTGATGCTATGAGAATATTAATAACAGCACCTGGCTCACGGGGAGGCTGACATCTTCATTCCACATCTCTGGAGAAGTACAGTCGTCTGTGGAAAGCATTCCTTGCTTCACAGAGTGTAGTAGTCAAAAATGCCAGTGCCACACATGATTGTTGAGAAGAAAAGCTGACTTTCTAGCTCAGTGATGAGAACTCAGCTGGGTAGTGGGCTTGGCCCAAAGTCAAATCGCATGTGATGTTTTCTTCAGAAAGGTTTTCTTATAGGAGGTTGTATTGGGTTACTGTGGTATAGTGTCCTGCCCGAGATACTATTTCTCTGGAGCCTTACAGCCTTACAGCTTGGACTTGGGCTAATGGAATTTAACACTAACTCTTACGATGCTGAATTTCCTTTGTGTTTTTTCTAGTTTTTTCTCTTTACCACAGACAGAACGTGCTAGATCTTTCTTCTTCTCCAAAGATGATGAACGCCTAAGAGGTATAACAGGACTTGGTCACCCTCTTTTTGACAAGTTATCTAGATATTTTGGATCCTTTCAGGCATATATCCGATACTTAATTGTTTCCAGTGTTTCTGACGTTCTTGTTAAAAATATTGACTATTCGTATCAGTCACATATGCCCACAAGGTTTTTGATCCAAAATATTGTGGGGTTTTTCTTGTTAATGTCATTAAATTCAAAGTGAAAACAAAAACGAAAAAAAAACCAAAAATAAAACCAAACAAACCCTGCAGCAAAGAAAACAACAAACCAACAACCAAAAGCCTTAAACCACAAAAAAACTAGCAACTACCCGTAGGCTACCAAAGCAATTGCTTTTGATATTCTAGCCAATATCTTGGCAGATGCAGGATAGTGGTGCTGAGCTTCTAATGAAACAAATGCTGTTTCACTGCGGTCTATATTTGAGCATATCAGGGGAAGCTGCTGCTGCCGTTCGTTTTTCTTAGGACGCAAGGCTGTAATACGTAACATTTCTGTTGGAGGCCCTGGTGTTGGGGGGGGCGAGAGGGGAATATGAAGAACGGGCCTTCTGACTTTGTTGCTGTGTCGTTCATGAGAGTTACAAAGAGGAGCATATTCAGAAGGGTGTAACCACGTTAATTTATTCTTTTTGTGCAGGGGGCCCGAAGTTATTTTGTAAATCGGTAGACCTCAGTGAAGAAAGAGATGGTTGGGAAGACAGGCGTAGATTATTGCTTGAGGTGAGTGTTTTAACATCTGTTACTCGGTAACTGGCTAAAAGCGCCACATGATGGGGGAACACAGCTGTTTATTTCCTTAATTTGCACTGAAAAATAATTTACGATCTTTAGATGGGCTTAAAGCTTTTTAGTTACTGGAGGACTGAAAAGTTTTATAATAAATGTATTCATGACATCATGTTGTGATGTTCAGTGAGGTAAATTACTGAATGTCTGTATTGTATAGGACCAGTTATTTCATGTAAAAAAGTATAAAGAAAGGACACATGAACTTCCAAGCATCTCATAATGTTGTGCTCAAATTTGAATCTTTTCAGGAATGCCGGAGGAAGCATAAGGATGCAAGAAGAAAAGTGAAAGCAAAACAGTAAATATTTCTGATCTTACTGGTCAGATAAGACCAGTTTTGTGTTTCTTCTTTGGAGAAGATGCAGAAGAAATTTAGTTTCAGAATAATATTGGAATTGGAATATTCCAATAATAATATTGGAAAAGTCTTTGTTTTGCATGTTTGTGGTGAACTCTTTTGGTGTGGGGTTTTTTTGTTTGTTTATTTTGGCATTTTGGTTTGGTTTATTTGTTTGTTTGTTGGTTTTTTTTTTTTCTTGTTATAATGTGAACACGCAACAAAGACAACCCCAGGTTATTTTGCTGTGTTCTCAGCCCCCAGTGCCAAGTAGTGTTGTCCAAAGGCAGGTAGCTCTGTGCCTGTAAGACCATCTATACTGTAGTCTGCCCAACATAATAGAGATCTGTTTCAGATTGCTTTACAGATATTTGGAATGCATTATTTCCTGAGTAAAAATTTGCCAAAACTTTATGAAGACACGTATATTAGCAGGGAAGATGTCTGAAATGGGTACATGTGTATTTCTTCAGAGTTGATTTCTTAACTTCTTAATTCAGTGTGAACATCAATAAATATCAAGGACAGATCTTGCTGGTGTGGTATGCTTGCTGTTGAATGAAGGATATTAGTACGTACAAGGTCTCATTCCTACACCCAATGAACATATGCGCTGAGCAGAGAGGCTCCATCAGGACTTGCCTGGCCCCAGCCCAGTTGCAAGTTGGTGGAGGGCTGGAAGGCTGAATCAAAGAATAATGGGGGACAAGGCATGAAGGAAATCCCACAGGGTGATTGTACAGGTTCAAACAGCCCTTTGCTCTTCAGGCAAACTACAGGTGGTCTTACAGGTGCTGTGCACCCCAAGTGCCTTCCTGATAGGTCTTAATGCAGCTTGAAAACTGATTCAGTGGAGTAGGGGGCAGCGTCCTCTCTGAGCAAGGCAGGGGAAGCTGGGAGGGAACCTGTCAGGCTTTTGAGGAAGGGAAGGAGGTATCGAGGGTGCAAAAGAGGACTCGGGGCCAGCACTTTGTCCCCTTCCTCTTGACGGCTGTGATTGGGAAGACGCGAGGTGTGGGCATGGTCAGAGCAGGTCGTGCTCTTCAGGGGGATTGCACGGTGCGCTCCGAGGCACTCCCGAGCAGCGGTGCTCGAGTGGAGCTGGCCAAAGGGCTGTGGCCATGCACAGCGTCACTGTGAACCCAGGTCTTTGTTCCCTGGCACCGGTCAGCTCTGTAGGTGACGGAGCTCTGGAACGCCCTGGTGTCAGAAGGCCGAGCAAAGTCTCAGGAAGCCGGGGGACAAGGGGAAACTGAGCACTAGAGTCTGGCCTGGAACGTGGCTGGTAGAAGAGGGTGGCTGAGGATGCTCTAAAGGCAGGAGCTGAAGGAAGCAGCCTGGGAAGCCTCTGGTCACTCTCAGCAGCGTCAGCCGGCTGGTAACGGAGGGAGGCTTCTGGGGGCTTAAGGTTCCCGTCTTGGTCCTGAATTGCCTGGATTGGACCTGGATTCTCCACTAGGAGGATGTCACCTTCCTTTTCTCCTACTCTGGTTGTGCCCAAGACATAATCTGGTGTTTTTTCTTGGAAAGTGGTCTCAGGACTTGGTGGTGCTTGTTGAGGAAGTGACTGCTGCTTAAGTACTCACCTTGAGCCCACAGTCTGGTCTCCCTTCCCTTGGGGACTCTTCCTGTTACTGGACTGAGGCTTCTGCTGCAGCACTGATCTGAAGACCCCCAGAAACTTATGAAATAGCTCCTCCTTCAGCTGCCCGGTTGCTAGCCCCGGTGCAGTAAGCTTCTGAAGGTAAATGTCCTTTGCTCTGTGCTCTTGTGGTGGTGGTTTCTGCGTTCTGTTGTTTTGTGTCTTTCTCCTCCACAACACATCCTTGTGGAAAGAAAGTTGTTAGTAGGCTGTTTTGTGAGGACCTTTAATTGAATTCTTGCCGTGGTGATCCTTTCTACCCCTAGGAGGTCCTTCTAGTTATAGTCTAGAATAAATGTTTTGCAGTGCACTCCCTTACTACTTCTGCACAGGGGAGAATATTATGCAGTGGCACATTGCTAGAAAATCCTCTTTCTAGTCAAATTGCACTTTATACATGGATCAGCATTGATGCTGTCAGTAAATGGCTAATCTGCTTTGCTAGCAATTAGTGCTTTCCTGGAGCCTTATCACTGAGATTACTCAGGACTTTGGAATATTTCGAAAATCAAGACTGCTGTATCAGATCAGTTTACTAAATTGATATGCCTGGCTAAAGAAATACCCATTGGGAAGCGCCACACCAGCTCCTACATGGTGGCAGCACTAGGCACATAGGCTTTGTGGCACTCTGGGCGGCAGAGTGGTGTCTAGGCCAGTGGGCTGGTGGCTGGTCCTGGGGAGGACCAGGTGATGGATGGCAAACACAGTATTTCCCATTATCCCAGTTGCTCTTTCCTTGGCTTGCATTTTCCTTTTTTTTTGGCAGGGCTGTGTTTATTGAGCTGTCACTTCCTGCTTAGCTCTGTGTTCCCTTCTCTGAAGTGTGGAGCTTTCATCATCTGGTGGTGCTGTTGTGTGTATTTCAGGGTAGCTAGTTCTGTGCTGTTGCAGTCTGTTCACACCATGTTGTAGGTAGAACTAATGCCTTCCTTTTCAGCAAACTGTAGTTGTCAGATCTGCATGTACACAAAGCAAAGAACTAACTTGTTTAGATTGGCAGTTGTGTTTTTCTGAACCTGAGTGCATATTAGCTGATACTAAATCCATCAGAGACTAAAAGATACACCCGCTGCCTCCCTTGCTCCTTGTTTGCTGTAGCTGTTAAATTGGTAGCATGTTGTGTGTGCTTTGAGACCTTGCAGTGTAGGGGGGATGGTGTGAAAGATGGTGATAAAAGGAGATAAAAGGAGACCAGTCCCTTCCAGGAGCAAAAACCAGTTCTTGTTTATGTAATAGCTGACTGTTGTCTTCTCCTCCCCCACCTGATGTCACTCTTCCCTGTGCATGCTCTTTCCTTCTCTTTGCCAGACAGCCTGATGCACCATTGAAAAGTGATTCGAGCAGGGCAGCATTTTAGGAGTAACCGTGGAAGCTATAGCTAGCCTTCTCATTGCTGAAGACAGGTGCTGATGTAAACTGGTGTTTCATTACTGCAGGAGTATTAACATCCATTTGGTATAACCCAGAAATAGGTTGTTCCACTTGAGAGTGAGGACATTCTCCCTAATGGTCCCAGCAGCTTGAGGTTATGGCTGTGCTATGTTCAGAAGGCATATCGCTAGTTAGCTTTAATCCAGCTGGACTGAGTACAACAGTACTCAAATAGTAACACAGAGGTCAGTGTGGGTTACTTAAATGAACAAGTGTCCAGGCTTCTCGAGAGGCTTTGAAAACTTGAAGCAGTGAAAGCTGGCTCTAGCATGGCTGCCATGGTAATTTTACTGCACTATAGCACAGCAATACAACTTTGTGACTGTGGAGTGAGGATACCATTCAGATCATTAGGACATAAATTGCTGAGGTTGTGCTACTGAGCTGTTTAAATTTTTATGTATTTAGCAGCGTAGCAGAATATTGCTACTGAATGAAAGAGCATGTGGTTTTCTTTCCTTGGAAACAGAAAGGTACCGTGCATTAGTATAAGACCCTAGTAAAAATGTATTTTTAGCCTGTGTTTGTTACTGACTAGTGGTCTGCTTGCTGTTGGTTAATACAGAACAGCTCTTCAGTAGCTGTACTTTAATGTCCTGTGTTCAAATCCTAGGTATGTACTTTACCTGTGAAAACACAAAAGTATCATCCTGCTGCTTCAGATGAAGATACTGTATTTAAAAGAACAGATGCTTGTCAGATGAGATGGTAGCGAGCACGTGCACATTGTTATCCTAAGTCCAATGCAAGATAATGTGCCAAGTCTTAACCACAGAAGTGGCTTAAGGTAAATTCTATTCCATTGCACCGTAACGTTCCATGATTGAGCTGATAAGTGGTGATTCTGTGTGGCTTGCTAACTTATTTTCATTTCAGGCAGGTAAGTGCTGAAACACTTGAGTGAGCAGTGCCTTAAGAAAAGAAGCCACACACACACACTTGTGAGAATGTTTAACAGTCTGCTTTCTACAAAAACTGTTGGTGCTGTAGCTTGCACCAGAAACAGATGACTGGGCATGTTTTACTTAAGATGTTGCTGAGGGAAAAATGAAGAATCATTTCCGTTTAATTTGTTTATATGTTAGTATACTTAGATTTGATCCATTTGCCCTGGAGAATGGCAGTCTCAGACTCTTAGACTGATACAAATTCCTTAAAATTTCTACCAGAGACTTTGAGTTTATTTTTACTATCAACCAAGGACTTTCTGAATGCAGATACACCCATAATCTCACTGTAGGTAATTGCTGTGTAGAAGATCCTTGTTTTAAACATCTGATTGTGAAAATGGTATCATCTTTTACTATGGCAGCTTTAATATGTTATATTTGCATTTGCTCATTATATCCAGAAGCTTTTAACATGTTGGCTCATAGAACCAACAGACTGGGGAGGGGAGGGATTATTTTGGGGTTTTTGGGGGGATATTTGAGGTTCTTTTTGTCTTGTTTTTTTGTTTGGTTTTATTCTTGTTTTGTTTGGTTTTGGTATTTTTTTGTTTGACTTTTGGGGTTTTGGGATTTTTGGTTGGGTTTTTTTTGTTTGTTTGGTTTTGTCTTTTTTGAGGAAAAAGTATGAAAGCTTAAACTAATGGGAATTTCCTAATGGGAATAATGAGCCATAAGCGTAAAGTTGTAATTGTGGAACTAAGTGCTACCTGTGATCCAGTATGGCAAGTACACAAGAGGCAGGTATGTCCTATGTTGGTTTTAAAATCTGCTTGCCAGCTGGAATTCAGGTAGAGAGCAAAGATCCAACTCCCTAATTTTTGTTTATTTTTTGCTCCTGCACTTTGCTTGTAGTAGCACCAAGCAACTCAACGCAAAATGGGCTCGGGGAGAACCAGTGATTTACAACTTCTTGGTATCAAACAAAGAAGCACAATGCCTGATTGCTCCGTAGTGCTCATGCTTGTACTGAAGTCCTTCCTGGCCAGCTTTACCATGCTCACCTCCTTTGGGGCAA